ATTAAAAACTTTGGAGTAGGGAGGGAGGGGGAGGAGGGTGTCAATGGGGGAAAAAGGAGAAATATCTGTAACAAAAATAAATTCATTAATTTTAAAAAATTGAAAATTTTGGTGCATGAAAAGATACCATCAAGAAAGTGAAAAGATAACACACAGAATGGGAGAAAATATTTGTATTCATATGTCAGAAATAAAATTAGTATCTAGAATATATAAAGAACTCTTACAACTCAATAAATATTCCAATTAAAAACTGACAAAAGATCTATTAGTCAGCTCAGGCTGCTATAACAAAATGTCATAGACTGGGTTGTTTAAACAGCAGACACTTATTTATCACATTTCTGGAGACTGGGAAGTTCAAGATCAAAGTGCCAGCAGATTCCATTTCTGATGAGGGCTTTCTTCCTGACTTGCAGACAGCTGCCTTCTCACTGTGTCCTCACATGGTCGACACAGAGAGCGAGAGCTGATCTCTCTTCTTCTTCCAATACAAACACTAATCCCATCATAAGGCTCTACATTCATGAACTTACTTAAACCTAAATATCTCTCGAAGTCCCTGCCTCCAAATACCATCACTTAAGAGTTAAGACTCCAAAGTGTGAATAATGGGAGGGACACACATTCAGTCCATAACAGATCTAGAAAGACATTTCTCAAAAAACAAAAACAAAAAATGTACACATAGCAAATAAGCCCATAAAGAGATGCTCAGCATCATTAGAGAAATGCAAATCAAAACCATGATGAGAAATCACTTCATACATACTAATAAAACCAGAATCAAAAAGTCGTCTTGTGCACCAAAAGTTGCCAGTATGCTTCCTAGTCTAACTGTTTTGTAGGAAGAATCTTTGGAGAATGTAGATGACCATACTACCCCAATGAAAATCTTTTGTGCAGGGTTCTTTTTCCCTTAATTATTCAACAAATATTTATTGAGTATATACCATATGTGACATTCTCTTCTAAGCACGTTCCTTAAATTATGTTTTTTAATTTTTAAAATTGTTTTTTCAATTACAGTTTACATTGAAAGGCTTATTTATGTTTTAACATAATGTCCACAGGAAATTTGTTTCATTAAATATGACTAATTGGGCCATTATTCCTCCCTTTTCTAGAACTTATGACAATATATGGAATTCTAGATGATTCTTTCTCCTAAAGGAAGGCACTTCACTAACAGAACACTATATGATACATACCACAAATATAAAGCAAGAATATCCAAACCAAGTTATTCACCACAGCCCTCTGGGGAACTAATGAAAACTATGAACACTATGGTTCAACTTGCGACTTGGTCTGTGTCATAGGTCACCATCCCCATCTGCTTTACTATCCAGATAGCCATCACCCAAACCAAAGATGGAGCTACCTTCCTGATTAGTGGTAGTAGAAAACATTTTCTGACGATCGCCATGAGACAAGCACTGCACACTAAGCCCTCCCCTAGGATTATCTCATCATTGACCACCACAGCCTTACCAGGGGGGTGCATCAATATTATGACCACTGTACAGGTTAAAGAAAGTGAGGCCCGAAGAGGTTCCATAACTTCATAAATTAATTATCAGGTGAAAGCTATATTGCTGTTACAGAGATCCAGTCATAATTCAGGGCTGATTTCTCACATTATGATCTGGGGTCAGCAGAACAGGCTGGCAGGCAACTCCACTCCACGTGGTCATGCAGAAACCCAGTTCCTTCCAGTTTGTTTCTTCACTACGTTCCAGTGCATTGCCTTCACCTTCATGCTACAAACTAACTAGTGGAAAAGAAAGAAAAGGCCAGAGAATGCATGCCTGAGGGCCTCAGCCAGGAAGAGACACTCATCTTCTCTGATTCCATTAAGGAGAACTGAGGCTCACAACCATACTTAGCTCTACAAAGTCCTGGAAAATGGGGTGAAGATAGGCAGCCATGGGCCAGACGACAATTGCATCACTAAGGAAAATGTGGAGAACAGATGTTGAGGTACAGTCTGAGGCAATTAAGATGAAGACACTGTCCCTTTAGTCTAAGACCACCATTGTCTCTTATTTGGACTAATTCCCTGATCTCTCTGCTTCTACTATAAATCTCTTCATCACATTTCTCACACAGAAGTCAGAATAATTTATTATAAATGTAAGTCAGGTTGTATCATTCCTCAGCTCCAAATCCCTTCAGGCTTCTCTTCTGATTCAGAATAAAATCCAAAGTCTTTACCACTGCCGACAAACAGCCCCGATGTTGCCTCTGACTGCAGCTCAGGCTTTCTTTCTCTCTCCATCCCATTTCTTACCTGTTCCAGCCACAGTGGTCTCTCGGCTCTTTCATAAGCAGGTCAAGCAAGGGACCACCTCTGAGGCTTCGTACTTGCTGTTACAATCAGAAGCCCATCAGGAGACACAGTATTACAGGCAGATGGAAGATCTAGGACAATTCAGATGGAAGTGAGACTGGCATGTCTGAAGAATCAAAGTTGTCCCATGTGGACCTAGAAAGTGGGGGAGGCAATAAATGACGAGGATGGAGAGCTGGGGCTGGTCCTGCAGGGCTTTGTAGAGCAGGGGAAGGACTCTGGATTTTACCAGACTGCAATGATGGGAAATCACTGAAGGTGTTTAAGCAGGAGTGTGACATCATCTAATTTCAGTTGTAAAAGGTCTGTTCAAGGTGATGTGTAGACAGTGACAGAAGCCTGGAAGCAGAAAGACAATTAAGATGGCTTGCTCTGCACTATTTACAATAGCTAAGATCTGGAAACAGCCCAAGTGTCCATCAGTAGACGAATGGATAAAAAAGCTGTGGTACATATACACAATGGAGTACTATGCAGCGGTAAGAAAGAAAGATCTCTTATCCTTTGAGATGACATGGAGGGACCTGGAAAAGTATTATCCTAAGTGAAATAAGCCAAGCAGAAAAAGACAAATACCACACGATCTCACTTATATACGGAATATAATGAACATAACAGTCTGAGGAATACGGTAGACCCAGAAACATGGAAGTAGGGCACAGACTGACATCCCTCAGAAGAGGGGGTGGGGGCGTAGAAAGAGATAAACCACAGAACTTATATGCATGTATGCATGACCAATGGACATGGACAACTAAGCCGGGGATGGGGCGGGGGTGGGGTGGGGAGGGGGTGCCAATGGGGTAAAAAAGGTGAAATATCTGTAACAAAAAAATAAATTAAAAAATTAAAAAAAAAAAAGATGGCTTGCTCTTACCATTCAAATGTTTCCACCTATTCTCAACTGATGTTCTCCTCACCCACGCAAGTTCTCTGCCCCATGGGCTGTTCATTTTGTCAAGAATGACAACCTCTTTTTTTTTATCCTCACTCGAGGACATTTTTTCATCTTTTGTTCAGATAGAGTGGGAAGAAGAGAGAGGAAGAGAGAGAGAGAGAGAGAGAGAGAGAGAGAGAGAGAGAGAAACATTGATGTGAAAGGGACACATGGAGTGGCTGCCACCCACACAACCCAACCAGGGCCGGGGACAAACTGCAACCGGGGTACATGCCCTTAGCGGGAACTGAACCTGGGTCTCTCTGGTCCACAGGTCAACACTCTAACCACTGAGCCAAACCAGCCAGGGCAAGAATGAAAACCTCTTGAATGAATGAATGAATGAATGAATTTATTTATATCTTAACGTTAATATAGCATAGGAGCTTATTCAAATTCAATAAACATTGGTGAGCATTAAAGAAATTGTTTTGCAAGCCACAGGCTCTGCTGTGGGTAGTACAAATAAGACTTAGGTACTCTCCTTGCCTTTAAAAAGTCTTTAGTTCATTAAGGAAGATGTTACATACAGCAATAACTAAAACACCAGCAAGAAATTGTTACAAGTTCTATGGAGAGCTCAAAGGAATGGGTGACCATGTACAGGTAGAGAGATCACAGAAGAGGTCATATTCGAATAGAATAAGACTTGAATAGGTGAAAATAGTCAAGAAGGACATTGATTTCTATAAAAGCACAGTCAGAATCTTGGAGCAGAATGATGGAGGAAAGGTCATTTAGTTCAAAACTGAGTTTTCACACATGTTTTTTTTCTTTAATCCTCACCTGAGGACACTTTTCCATTTATCTTCAGATAGAGTGGGAGGGAGGGAGAGAGAGGGAGAAACATCGATGTAAGAGAGACACATCAATTGGTTGCCTCCCACATGACCCCAACCAAGGTTGGAAACCATAATGCAACCCAGGTACGTGCCCTTGACCAGCATCAAACCCACCACTCTTCTGTCCACGGGCCGATGCTCTAACCACTGAAAACTGGCAGGGTTTCACACGTTTCAAATTACAGTATTTTATAGCCAAACAAGTACTCTTTCAACTTCACGCTTTCCCAATAAACCTTCAATGCAGTTTAGTAATGAGACGGCAACCTTTAAGAGCCACAGAACTCTGGTGGAGGATGAATTTCACGGGATCAGAAACAAATATACAAAATAATAGTCAGGATTGAAAGAGAAAATATCTGGAAGAGAAAATTATCTGCTCAAATCTCTCCCCTAAGGTTTCTGGTGCTCTTGTACCTCCTGCCCTCCTATTTAAAACATATCATTTACGTTAATGCTAGTACAGAGAACGCTGGTTGTCTTGGAAAGTAAACTGTACATGTTCTTGGACTTTTGTATATTTGAATATTCACGACCTGCTGCTACCCTTAAAAACCAGTCTCAGAAGTTATAGACTAATGTAAAGCAAACTCATAATAGTATTCACTAGAAAAAAAGAAAGTAATCCATTTTTATAGAGTTGACAGTGAATAGAGGATGTTCCAAGAGAGATTAGTGAGTTGCTATCATCATGGCTCAGTAAAATGGACGTGAACATCTACCGACAATGAGAGTTTACATTCAGTATTCACGTGGAGACGGTCCGCAGGCTTCCACTGCTTCGTGATACTGCCACATAAAGATGTTTTAATTCACCTTTCGATTCCTACTCCTTAATAAAGCAGCGTGCTCTCATAGCTCATCTATTTGGGAGGCTGATTCACAAATTGGGCCAAAGTACTGCTCTCATTGTCACCATACCTCCTTAGAACAAACTGCCTTTTGAAAAAATCAATCCCATAGAGATCAGGGATGCATACGTTTTCAGGGCTGGAAGCTTAGGCTAAGGATTAGGTAGAAATGTCACGGCAATTCTCTCTCGTCTGGTCTGAGTGGACAAGAAGTTCTCGGCTTTTTTCTGACACTTGCTTTGGTGACAACAAGAAGTTAAATCAGTAGGCATTTCAAGGGCAGTGCACACTGGGGGAGCCTTTTTTCTTGCCAAGGGCCATTTGGATATTTTCAACATCATTCATGGGCCATACAAGATCGTCAACTTAAAAATTAGTCTGGCTGGTGTGGATCAGATTAGTCTGGCTGAGCATCAACCCAGGCACCAAGAGGTCGCTGGTTCGATTCCCAGTCAGGACACATGCCCAGCTTATGGGCCCGATCCCCAGTGTGGGGCATGCATGAGGTGGCCAGTCGATGTTCTCTCTCATTGATGTTTGTATCTCTCTCTCCCTCTCACTTCCTCTCTCTAAAATCAATAAAGGAAAAAAAAATTTTTTTTTAATTAGCCTGCTATATTTGGTCAGGCTAATTTGGTGAGGCGTGTGATGTTAGCTGGTATTGATTTTGCAGGCCTTATACAGCCCGAGGGCTGGACATTCCCCACCTCTGCCACGGTGTCAGGAACCATGGGTATTAGGAAAAAAGTAAAAGATGCAGTCTCTGCATTTAGGAAATATGCACACTTATTGGAAAGTAAGATATGTATACTTGTATATAAGATAGTCTGAGAAAGAGCCAAAGTGAGAGAGATACACTGAAGCAAAATATTAGATAGCATCTGCACTACAGACATTAAAAAGAGAGAAGTTAACTATAGGCAGAAGATAACCAGGGTGGACTCCACGAGGAGAGGGAACCTTCAAACAAGGTTGAGATTTATGTAGTTATAGTAAAGGAAAGAAAGTGTTCCATGTAAAGAGTAGCACAAGCAATGAAACACAGATATTTTCTCCTTGTTTTAAGTCCTTCAGCTATCATTTAATAAACTTAGTTCACACTGGGGCCAGAATCAGTATCTTCAGAGATGAGCTGAGGAATTAATCACTCTGCTGACCTTCGTGGGAATGACTTAGAAGGGTCTTTAATCTTCTGACCCAGTGATTACTGTCATTGGCTTTTGTTAAATATTTATTGAAAGGATGAGGCTTCTGCAGTTTTCCCAATGAATCTTTTTTCTTTATTTTTTTAAATCTTCACCTGAGAATATTTGTCTATTTATCACCAGATAGAGTGGGAGGGAGGGAGGGAGGGAGAGAGAGAAACATTGATGTGGGAGAGACACATCGACTGGCTGCCTCCCACACAACCTGATCATGGCCAGGAGCAAACCACAACCAAGGTATGTGTCCTTGACTGGAACTGAACTCGCGACTCTTTGGTCCATGGACCGACACTCTAACTGCTGAGCCAAACTGGCCAGGGTGAATCTTTTCTTTTAAACACCCTCTATCCATTTCACCCCTATTCTCATATTTTTCATGAGCTCGTTTTCCATGTGCTGCCCTCGCAGCCCAGAGTCATTGGCAGGATCAGGAGTTCACTGGTAGCAGTTCTGGAATCCCAGCCAAGACTTGTGGGTTCATGAATTTCACCAATGACATGAGTCAGATGCACCTGAGGGCAAGATAAAGGGTGATCCTAGTTTGGAGCAGCACACATCACTGGTATTGGCTGGCCAGGTCACTAACTTCTGGGACGCAATAGGGGCAGTTCCCTACAGTGGAGTCTAAATGCAGGCTGATAGAGTCATACTCCGCCCCCTTCCTTGAATCCTAAACAGTGTCGGGCTCACATTCGTTCTAAATACAAGGGCAGCTCCCCAGAACTGTGAAATGCATTCTCGGTCTTCAGAGCCCTGCGAACCTTTACTTTGCTTCTTCCTTTAGACGCTTTCCCTGCCCAAAGATCTGTTTCTTCAGGTCAACCATGGGCTTTCCAGAACCTTCTCTCCATGTAGGTGGACTTCTCCTTTACCCAGAGGTAGGCAAGTGAGCATTGCTAGAGAAAATCATGCAATTAGCAGGTTGGTTTCCTTGTATTCATTATAACCTTCCACTTGAGGAGGAAAACAGAAGTCATCTCCACTTCCCAAAGTGAAATTTCTATCTACCTGCATATATATGTTCGTCACCATTTCTAGCATTTCAAAACAGAGTTGTAGTTAAGAACAGGGATTTAGACTACCAAGGTTCAAAGTCCAGCTCTACCACTTCCCATCAATGTGACCGTGGGTAAGTTGTTTAGCTTCTTTGGGCCTCAGTGTCCTCAAAAGAAAAATATGGGTAATTTTAGAACTCACATTACTGGGTTGTTGCGAGCTCATAGGGGAAGCCAGTGGCTACTAAAATGATCAATAAAGGCAGATCTAAGCTTAATTACTTGCCAAGGAAGGAAATATGTACCATTGAAGTTAATTGGGTGAAGGGGTTTATAAATATATAAAGGGTCACTTGGGATTCCCAGTGGTTATACTAATTAAGAAAAAAAAATGTCCCTGGCCGGTGTGGCTCAGTTAGTTGAAATGTCATCCTGTACCAAAATGTTGCAGGTTCGAATTCCGGTCTGGGTACATATTTAGGTTATGTGTTCAATGCCAGGTCATGGCGTGTATAGGAGGCAACCGATAGATGTTTCTCTCTCACATCTATGTCTCTCCCCCCCCTCCCCCCCATCAATAAAAACCTATTCTCCGGTGAGGATTAAAAAAAGAACAAAAATTTTGCACTCTTTATAGGGAAGAGTGAGTCTACAGGTTTGCATACATCTGTTTTTCATTGTTCAAAAAAACCCTTCAGTTAAATTCAATGAGTGTTTGCTATGCAGGTGCACTGAGTTTTTAGTCATTTTTCAGCTTCAGCCAGTTAAAACCAGTTATAGTGAAACATGGCATTTGGTTCTGGTATTCCTAAGCAAGTGATGTCATAAATATAAATGGACTCTTATTCAGAGGACTTCATTATTTATTCCATGTAAGGCATTTAGAACACTGCCTGGCATATCATAAACTCTTAATAAATGTTAACTTTCATAATTTATTACTAAAATGTTTTGAATTCTCTCCTTTCTCACCATCTCAGGAAATTCATTCCTGAATTTTCAACTCTCTCCCTCTCTACTGGATCATCCTTGCCAACATTTAAAAGTATTCTAGAAGCTTTATATATAAAACATTTTCTTTTACTTAGTAAAGATAAAGATAGAATCTTAAATTCAATGATGAGGAGATAGATTTGTTTGATAAATGATTTTGGAAAACAAAGTAGCCATCTAAAAACAAATCTAAAATTGTATCAATACTTCCTACTTTATACCAGGAATATTTTCTACTGGATCAAAGATTTCAGTTTAAATAATAAAACTATGAATGGGCTATAAGAAATCATGAGGGAAATCTCCAAAAAACTCAGAGTGGAAAAAGTCTTCCTAACTATTAGCACAAAACTCAAGAACAATAAGCCAAAAAAGTTAATAAATCTGACAATATAAAAAATCAAAAGCCACTGTAAATAAATTCCAAAGACAAACAACAAACTGGGAAAATATATTTGCAAAGTTATACTGCAAAGGGCTACTTTTCTCAATAAGATAACATGTATAAACTGCTTGGAATAAAGATCAACTCATCTACTGATGGACACTTGGGCTGTTGATGAATGAATAAAAAAGCTGTGGTACATATACACAATGGAGTACTATGCAGCTGTAAGAAAGAAAGATCTCTTATCCTTTGAGATGACATGAAGGGACCTGGAGAGTATGATGCTAAGTGAAACAAGCCAAGCAGAGAAAGACAAATATCACATGATCTCACTTATTTGTGGAATATAATGAACTAAACAAATTGATGATCAAAATAGACCCAGAGACAGAAGGGTGCAGACTGACAAACATCAGTAGAGGGGGTGGTTGGGGGAGAAGAGATAAACCACAGAACTTATATGCATGTAAGCATAACCAATGGACATGGGCAACAAAGCTGGGGACGGGGTGGGGGTGGGGAAGAAGGGTGTCAATGGGGGAAAAAGGAGAAACATTTGTCACAAAACTAAATTAATAAAAATAATTTAAGAAAAATGATCAACAACTCGATTTTTTAAAGTGGACAGTTTCCAAAAGAGGAAATACAAATGTCTCTTAAATATGAAAATATGTTCAAACTCACTCATAATTAAAGAACACAGATTAAAATTATACTGAGCTACTATTTTCCACTTATTAGACCAGTTAAGGTCAAAAAGTAAATAATGCTCTGTATTGATAAGGTTATAGGGAAAGAGGTATTTTCACATTGCTGATGGGAATGTAAATGTACAATGATGAAGGACAATCAGCTTCTACCAAAATCACAACTCCTCTTGTCCTTTGGTCTAGCAAATTCTACTTTGATGAATTTATCCTGAGGATTATATGCACATATACTTCCAAATTACATGCACACACTTCCAAAATGACACATATATAAGGTTATTCATTGCAACACTGTTTGCAAATGAAAATATTAGAAATAAAGGTGTCCTCCTTCAACAAGAGTTAAATAAACTATGATGCCTCTACGCAAAAAAATAAGACTCCAGCGCCTCCTCCACACCTGTAAGTGTCGTCTTTTGCCTGCTCTCAGTCTCGGGCCCTCTTTCATTCCTGCTCTTACTGGTCTCACCCACGGCCACGGCTGTAAATGTCTTTATGAAAATTGGCTCGTTTCAGAAACCCAATAACCATCTTCGCAGTTTCAATCTTTCTCATACCCTTCACCAAATACCATTAACCTACCTCAAAAATACATTTTACTAGTTTTTCAAACAACTTTATTCATGTATAACTGACATGAACTAAACTGCCCATAAGTAAATTGTATTAGCTGATAAGTGTTGACATGAGGATACACCCAAAACTGTCGCCACGATCCAGAAGTTTTGTAATGTTCCCTCCAAATGTCTCGGACCCGCCCCTCCGTGTCTCCCACTTTCCCATCTCCAGACAGTCACTTGGGTACTTTCTATTACTACAGCTTAGTTTGTATTTTCTAGAATTTTATAGAAATAGAA